TTCTGCTCTGCTCGGTAATTCTTGGGCTGTTCTTTGGTATTTTTCGGGTTTTTTTTTCTTCCTCTTCCCCCTCACGCCTGGTTTTCTTCTCCCTTTTATAGAGAAATTGGCTCTCCCCAGTCCTGTCTTTGCAGGACTGTGTTATGGAATCCTTGAACGAGATTATTGGCAACAGATGTTATCCAAGATCGGGTTTGTTGCAGATTATCAGCTCCCCTGCTGAATCGGAAACTTCCCTATTGACTCGGGATGGAGAAGACATGGCAACAACAGCGTTTTGGCTGGAAATGGGAGTTTTCAATTTGACCCCTGGGCTTTGGAAATTCGATAATTGGACCCCTTAATCAATTAAAATTCCTTTTAATTTTTTTCGGTTAATTTCAATTAGATCCCTAAATTGATACGTTATTTACACAACAGTCCTGAATTTCTGAACTATTCAATTTAGTCCTTGAACTTTACTTTTCTGATAATTTCTCTAAACAACCTCCAAACTTTGGTATTTTTTCAATTAAACCCCTGATTCTTTTAATTAATTAAATCAAAATTTAATTAAGTCCTCAAACTCATTAATTCCTCAATTTCTTTTAATTTAATTAATTAACTTAATCCCAAGCTCAATTAAATATCAAAATTTATTAATTCTCCAATTAAACCCTTGATTTAATTAATTAAACTAGTCAAGAGTTTAATTAAATATTTAAACTTTCCAATCATGTTTTCATTAACTCAAATTGTAATTCATTCTTCATTTACTTTTTATTTTATCAACAAGCTTTAGTAAATAAAAAAAAATCAAAAATTTGGTTATGACAATGCTATTTAGATCATTGTCAAAAACTCCATACTAATAGAGAGTTGATAGTTACTCCATGTTACTAGATAATAGTTAGCTTATTTGCACATAATATTTTATTTTCTAGCTTGCTAATAGGGTGTCGGTACTATGTGGATTGGTCTTAATGACATCTTACTTGATAATTAGGAAACACACGCGCGCGCACTTGTGTTTTTCCTAACTGTCGAGTAGGTCTTAACTATCGAGTAGGATATCAATAATATGATATGTAATTCTAACATGCATACTTTTTTTGTACACTATTTAATATAATACCTTTGATATATATGTTTTATTTTGTCCTTTATTTATATAATTGTATTCATTTATCTTAAAATATAAATTAGTATTTTTTTTATATAGTTATTACCTTTTATTAAGTGTTTTGTAAATATTGATACCAATGATCATTATTAATATCATTATTAGTCTTTTATATTGTGAATGACTAATCAAAATTTGAATTCATATTTATCTTCTTGTTTTTATCCATCAATTTCTCTATTTCTTAATGCCATTTTAATAAGTTGTAAGGAATTAAATTAACAATTCTATTGATGCATTAATTTAAATAGGATAAGTGTTAGACACTTATCTGCGGCACTTGATGTCCCAACTCATACTCTAGACTATGGTTTGTTCATAGTAGTATCCCCTTTAACACAAGTTAATTTTATTATCATTATATCTAACTTCTATTCTTTCCTTGTAATTTAATATCCAATGCACATAATTAGACTTAAAAACACATTTTCATGATGATTTCATACACTATTTATATTAATTGTCCTCCATTTTTTTTAAGCCTATTTGGCCGAACCAAAAAGAGAGGCAAGATTTTTCTTCACTTTGTCTCAAATTGACACTTCACCTATTATTTAATCACCATAATAAACATATTTTTAGCATTAAACCACCTATTTCAACAATTAAATTCTTTAACCCAATTTTTCTATAATATAAAACAATGTACAGTTCATTAAAATCCATGAAAAAACTTTACATTAAGATTGGATTAGGCTTCCTCACCTCTTGAACACAAAAAATATGGAAGAAAATGACAAGAAAAATAAGTTTCCCTTTCACGTCTTTCTCCCTTTCTTTTCCTTTTCAAAGTAGTCCTTCTCAAGCAAAAATTACCCTATAATTTCTTCAATTTCCTAACTTAGATCTTCTTCCAACCTTTTTTATCCTTTATTTCAAGTGTTTAGATGATATTTTTTTTTGAAGAAATTTTGAAGAAGATTTAACAAAACTTCTCCCTCTCCTGTTCTTTTAATTGCCAACTTAAGAAGCCAAGTGTGCATTTATACTAGTCAATATCCTACAATTTATGATAATACCCTCCTTTCTTAATTTGAGTGTTTTTCCTTTAACAGGTTATAACATCTTGTCAACCTTCTAAAAATAAATCATGTCGAGAAGTTTTAGTCCTTAGAACTCCATCTTTAACTATTTATCATTGTCATATTTACCTTTCTTGAATTAATCAAGTTTATCTTTGAGTTAATTTTACTCAATTAAGAAATTTAAATTTACTTTATTATTTTTTTTAAACTGGGGGTTTATATTCTCCTTTCTTTTAAATCCTTGAAATTTTAAATCCATACCTAAGTCTAAGATCAATTTAGGATATTTCTTCCTTGTAAAGTCCTAAGAAATTATAAATAAGATGATTGGGAAACATGGTGAAAATTTAAAAAAATGCTCTTGTAGACATGTGCTAACTTAACACTTTCTTTTTCCAGTCCCCACCCCACTCGTGAGGCCGTGACCGATACTCCACAGTCCACTCCAAACTCTAGTGACTTCATACTTTGTCTGTGTCTCCCTGACTCCCCTCTCCTTCTTCCCTTTTCTTTTCCTCTTTTCCTAGCAGATTAAGAAATCACTTTCCCTAGATCCAGAGCGTTCTTGGCGAGATCAATGTAATAATTTATTTTCAATCCTCAGTTTTGTTTTTCTGTCTAATGGTGGTGATTGGAGACAAAAAAAAATTATTTGGGTATTTTGTGAATTAGTGTTTATCTTCTATTATTAATTGGTTTGCTTCTGGGTATTCTGTGTTTATCTTCTACTATTTATTGGTTTGCTTCTATTTTGTTAAATCCATGATGCAAAGAACAACATAATAGATTTTTTTGATGTTTCAGCCTATCATCACATGTACTTTATATCACTCCCTCTCTACATAAAAGTGTAATGCTAAAAAGCTTAATGCTTTTTCTTCTCTCTGCTTTTGATTTCTTCAAAGCATACTAGTTAGCATTA